GGGGGGGGGGGGGGCAGAGATGGCTTGACAGACAAAAGAATTCACTTGCTCCAGAAGTATTATGGGAAAGCCATGAGAAGTAACAAGAATGACAAAGAAGGGACGAAATCAGCAATATGGGCCATTTTTTATCATTCCGCTTCATCCGATGATAATCCACAGCACGACTACTGCCCAGAAGGGGAAACTTCATGGTGTGGCTGGCAGCAAGACAGAGCGAAAGAACCCATGCCTACAAGCACAAATCTCCATTAGCACCAGCTGTGGTTGAGGTTGTGAAGCCAACATTTGAGGCTTTATCAGCTCATGAACTGTTAGACCATTGTCTTGAAGAAGCTACTCAAAACCAGAATGAGTCTTTGAACTCAGTAGTTTGGAGCTTCTGCCCAAAAGAAAGCTTTGCTGGCCTCAATTCTGTGGAGACAGCATGTGCCATGGCTGTAGCACGCTTCAATGATGGTTCAGACATCTGGAAACATCATGAAAAGGTGTGGCCTAAATCCAGGGAAGTATGTTTTGGAAAGGGCACAAAAGGAGGACACCAAACATATCTACCATGCAGAAAGAAAGACTCGGGAGGGTGCACTGACTGCAAGACAGCAAAGAAGAACTGAAAGGAGACACCAGGAGAAGAGCAATATTGAGAATGAAGGAGAAACTTATGTTTCTGGAGGATTTTGAAACACTTATTCAATGACATTTATATGTTCAACTTTCTTCTGCATTTTCTGAAAACCACTTTACGGGCCAATTTGAGTGTCGTTTTGGCAATTGTAACTTTTTGGCGTTTTGTAATATGGCCCACAAACCATACATTTTTGGAATCTGTGATAAATGTCCCATGCAATGAACCTCAAATCTAGCCTGAATTGTGCAAAACGGTGGATTGTTAATAACTTGAATGTTGTATTACGTAACCAAGTTCGGATCTGACAGTTTGCACAGTGAAAGCATGACCTTATATTGAACAGATCATGCAAGTGTTAGGTTCATTGCATAAAGTTATCTTACCTGCTGTATGCAAAATGTAACTTGGTCTCCTGGATAGTATGTTATGTTTTGCACCTTTGCCACAAAATGGGCACGTTCGTGGTCAGGGCCCAAATGTATATTGCCAGTTGGTACTCACTCATTGAACGATTGAGAACTTTTGTTAACATAGCTTAACAGAGTGTTTCTTGCAGTTTAATTTGATATATAGATGTTGGGTATTCCTTTAAAAGGAAACCAGTACTCAATGATTGCAAAAATTGTCAAAATATTATGTAACTGGCTTAGATATTCCAGCAAACCCTTTTGACAGTACATGTACAAGTTAATTTGATATCTGTAGACAGTCTTCAATAAAATTAATCACAACTCATCTTTGTTAATACCTAATAATCAATATTACCTTGTTTATTAAAATTTATACGTTTATCTTTCTAGTGATGGCCTGTTCACTTGTAGTACTTTAACTCCTGAATACTGACGTCTAAAACTAGCACTCCAACTGAATGGAATAAAAGTAAATCCAAGCCCACACAAGTACACTTTGCAGACCTATGTTTTCTTGCTGACCAGTATTTTATTTCTATTTAATACTGATACTAACTGGGTGCCTGACTCCATTAGTCCATACGGTTATTCCAGGCAGCTAGTACTCTAACTTTTACTTTTAACATTTTCATTGTTGCAATTTCTTATTTGAGCAAGAGTGAGTGCAAATGAAGATTGATCGATT